TTTCTGCCTAAAAATAATCCCAGTTAGCTCAAGAAGACCAGACCATTTGTGCATTGTGTCACCGTTGTAACTGATAAACATCCTACCATACACATACATGTAGAACACCCCCAGCGTGATGATACAGCAAAGTATCAATCACATTTTTTTTACTTCATAGTCATTTAAAGCTCCCGTATGAAGCCATTTTACATGTTATAATGTTGTTTCCTAATCACAAACAGACCTGGAGTTGCGCGTTTTTCTCTCAAATGGAAAACACTCTGTTCCACCGTGTTTTTAAACTCCACACACCTTCACTAGAAACATTTGGATCATTTCAGCCTTGGAATTTCCAATCTCTATTGAACTAAAGGTAAAACGTTAAAACTATCGCTTCGTGACATCACAAGGTGGAACAGTTTTGAGCTTTGGAGATGTAGACAGACTAGATGTGTAACGATATCCAAATCTCTCTGTACGATATTTTCACGATATACATCTCACGGTACGATATTTATTGAGATATTGTGTTAATATTCTACTTTTTCTTCTTAAAACGCCTTGACAAGACTTAACCCAAAGAACTAAGAGTTAAAAGTGTTAGAACTGTTATTTCTTCTTGTCGTTTGCACTGAAATGGAGCAAAGGATCATGGGAAATGTAGTTCCCTCTGTGTTTTTTTTTAGCTATTGCTGCATCAGAACTCTTCATTTAAACAAAGACACTTGTGATTCGATATATTATCAGTGTTGGGAAGTTTACTTTTAAAATGTAATCCCCTACAGATTACAGATTACATACCCCAGAATGTAGTTTGTAACGTAATCCATTAAATTACTTAAAGTGAGTAATGTAATCTGATTACTTTGGATTACTTGATTTGCTGTAGAGAAACAAAGACGAGGAAATCTTCACTTAAGAAGTTTTGTCTGATAAAAGAAAATAAAAAGTCCAGATTTTACTGAACCAAATTAAAAAATATTATTGATAGAAAACGAAGAAACACGTCCACACAGCAGGATTTAGTCCTGTTAAATCCTGTTTTAGTCCTGGTTTAGACCTTGTTTAGTCCTTGTTTAGTCCTGGTTAAGACCTGGGTAAGACCTGGTTTAGTCCTGTTTTAGTCCTGGTTCAGTCCTGGTTTAGACCTGGTTTAGACCTGGTTTAGTCTTGATTTAGTCCTGGTTCAGTCCTGGTTTAGTTCTGGTTTAGTCTTGATTTAGACCTGGTTTAGTCCTGGTTTAGTTCTGGTTTAGTCTTGGTTTAGACCTGGTTTAGTTCTGGTTTAGACCTGGTTTAGACCTGGTTTAGTCCTGGTTTAGTCCTGATTTAGACCTGGTTTAGTCCTGGTTTAGTCCTGGTTTAGTTCTGGTTTAGTCTTGGTTTAGACCTGGTTTAGTCCTGGTTTAATCCTGATTTAGACCTGGTTTAGTCCTGGTTTAGTCCTGGTTTAGTCCTGGTTTAGACCTGGTTTAGACCTGGTTTAGACCTGGTTTAGTCCTGGTTTAGACCTGGTTTAGACCTGGTTTAGTCCTGGTTTAGTCCTGGTTCAGTCCTGGTTTAGTCCTGGTTTTGTCCTGGTTTAGACCTGGTTTAGTTCTGGTTTAGACCTGGTTTAGTCTTGATTTAGACCTGGTTTAGTCCTGGTTCAGTCCTGGTTTAGTTCTGGTTTAGTCCTGGTTTAGACCTGGTTTAGATGTAGTTTAGACCTGGTTTTAGTCCTGGTTTAGACCTGGTTTAGTGGTTTAGTGGTTTAGTCTGGTTTAGTCCTGGTTTAGTCCTGGTTTAGCCTGGTTTAGTTCTGGTTTAGACCTGGTTTAGTCTTAGTCCTGAGTCCTGGTTTAGTCTGGTTTAGTCCTGGACCTGGTTTAAAAGACCTGGTTTAGACCTGGTTTAGTTTTGGTTAAACCTGGTTTAGTCTTGAAGACCTGGTTTAGTCCTGGTTCAGGGTTTAGTCCTGGTTTAGCCCAAAATGTGAAAACAGTAAAATCCCTCTGTTTAATCCATTTATTTCAACAAAGTAACTGTAATCCAATTACCACTCACTGAAACAGTAACTGTAACTGAATACAGTTACTCATCATTTGTACTCTGATTACTCTGGTACATGTAATCTGTTACTCCCCGACACTGTTTACTATGATGGTTCACGATATTATTGTGAGAACTTTAACGATATGATATTACGATATTTTGGTTATTGTTACATTTCTCAGACGGATTAATAATAATGAGTTACTCCAACATGTGTGAATGAAACTATTTTGAGGAGGGAACAACATTCTAAATTACCGTATTTTTTGGACTATAAATTGCACCGGATTATAACGTTAAAACTACGGCTTCATGACATCACAAGGTGGAAGAGAACATTTTGAGCTTTTGGAGATGTAGACAGACGAATAATAAAATGTTACTCAGACGTGTGTGTGTGTAACAAAACACAACTCCAGGTCTGTTTTTGACGATGAAACAACATTCTAACACGACCTGAGGCTCACACGTGTCCACTGTGTGTAATGTTGGACCTTTAATGACGTCAGCGGAGCTCGTTGTGTCGTAACGGAGCGCGGCGTGATTCCCGGCGAAAGCTCCAGGACGCCGTTACGTAACAGGCCTTTTAAAAGTGTGTCATGGGCGAACGCTGGATGCTGCTCCCGTCTTCAGAGGAGATCTTTTTATAGCCTCGTTCTTGAGCTCACATTGGGAGCGCTGGGGGGGGGGGGACGGCGATCTATTTTTAGCCCCCCCCCTCCTCTTGATTTGGATTTAGCTGAGTCGCAGCATTTGTCCTCAGAGCCACAGTTCCCTTTTTCCCTCACAGACGCCTGCAGGAAACAAACGAGCGGCTCTGAGGAATCTGAAAGCGGCAGACGCATAAGATTCTGCTGATTTAAGACGTAACGATAAACCAAAACACGTCTCCTGATGAATGACCGTGGAAGTGTAGCTCGCCCCAGTCGTACTTGTGTCCCGTTTGCGTCGAAATCCTCTCGTAATGCTGATGTTGCGTTATTAGGCCCGAGCGGCAGAAGGCGGCGAAGGGCCTATTAGTCCGGTAAAACGATGCGATGTTAAAGGGATAGTTCAGGTTTTTTGACATGAATCTGTACGGTGTCCCTGTCAGCAGTGTGCATCCACACTGACTTTACCTCCGAATGCGTCCGATGAGCCGAGATCCTGGCCGGTTTTGGTGCTGAGGAAAGTAGTTCGGCGAGTTGTGCTGGGGACAGAATAATAAAGCGTTTTTCTTCTCAAAACAATATGTGCTAAAAAGAGTGACACATTTGCACCACAAAACCTCCGTCCTCTAAAAAGTCAGACCTCATAATCACTTGGCACTATTTTCTCTAAGTTCGAATGTATCACTCTTTTTAACACATATTGTTTTTGAGAAGAAAAACGCTTTATTATTCTGTCCTCAGCACAACTCGTCGAACTACTTTCCTCAGCACCAAAACCGGCCAGGATCTCGGCTCATCGGACGCATTAGGAGGTAAAGTCAGTGTGGATGCACGACACTGCTGACAGGGATACCATACAGATTCATGTCAAAAAACCTGAACTGTCCCTTTAAGAGTCCCCGTTAAGTGCACTGACGGGAAGTGATGTGCCCGTAGTGACCAGGGGCCCTCGCCATAACGTAGGAATGAAGCGACATTAAAACTTCTAAACGCTTCTTTAACTTTTGGCTATTTCCATTTTCCAAAAATCAATAAAATGGCGCGTGAGAGAAAAAAAATTGCATTAGGGTATAGGAATGATGCCAAAACAAATTGTACGTAGAATCATGAAATTTGACACACAAGTAGATCATGACAAGACGAGTAAAAAATATTATTACACCAACACTGTGCGCTCCACCAGGGGGCCGCAATGTTGGATTAAAGTTTGCTAAGCATGACTCGGCGTTTTTGTAAACTTCATATTTTTACAAACTCCTCCGAGGGCGTTCATCCAAACTGGCTCAAATTTGGTACACATTATCTCAAGAGGTGGGACATCAAAAGTTATCCACATTTTTCACACACGTCTTACGGTTTCTGAGCAGTGAAGCGACAAAAAAATGCACACTAATTTTGGAAACTTTGAAATTTTTAACTCCCTGCCCTAAAACCATTTAATATGAAAAAAATAAATAAATAAATTGTGGATTATCACCCCTACACATTAAAACTAAATTTAATATTGGGAGAAAAAAAATGTTTTTCCAAATTTTCAGAAATTTGGCAAAATTTAGTTTTGGCATCCTGGATTTTTATATTTTTTTTTTACGGCGTTGCCATAGCGACGACGTAAACTCTCCACGTTATTCCAATGGTAAAACTGACAAATCACACAAACTTTGGCCGATTTCACTCAAATTTTAATCCTGGATGGACACCCTGACCCTAAAAAAATAAATAAAAAATGAAAATGTGTGCAATTGCGCCCCCTGGGAAATTTGTAAGGAACTATAACATTTTATTTGTCGTAAATACACAAAATTTGGCACATGTTCGTGACACGCTCTCAATCAAAAATTCAATGACGCCCACACCCGAGCTTACATTGTGTTACCACGGCAACAAGCCAAAAATCTGTCCTGGCCAGTGGGACGTCCCGACAAGAACCAGACGCATCAAGGCAATAAGAACAAAAAAAAAAAAAAAAGGTGCATTGTGTAACTTTTTTGCTGCTTATTTCTACGGAGATGTCATTGCTCTGCCTGGAATGTTCCGCAGTGTGACATTAGACAGCTTGACTTTATATTTATTCAATTACATATGATTTTATAGCTCAAAAATACCTCGAAAAACAAACATTCTGACTGTGAGCGGTGTCGCCTCTCCACAGATCTGACCTGTAACGCAGGTAAAGGTTTAATGCCACACTGTGACACATTCCAGACAAAACAATAACAGCTCCATGGAGAAAAGCATCCACAGAAAAGTTACACAATACACCTTTAATTGTATTTTTACTGTGTGATGTGTGATTAATGCAGTGTTTGTGTTTGTGTGTGTTTCGTCCTCCAGGCCACCAGGGGGCGTCTCTGTGGAAGATGCTGGGTTCGGAGCGTGGGGTGGTGGAAGAATGGCTCTCAGAATTCAAGGTAAAACACTCAAGAAACAGAAAAACAAGAGCGCAGCGACGTGCAAGAAACAGAGCGAGTTTAAAGGCCCAGATTTCCTCGTCACAAACAGACCTGGAGTTTTGTTTTATTCACACACATTTAAACACACAAATATTTAGTTGCTGAGTTCTTCTCCATCCATTTTCTTCCGCTTATCCGGGGTTGGGTCTTGGGGGCATCAGTCTAAACAGAGA